CATGTTAGCGTAGATGGTTTCCATCTTGTTGGAGGTCAGCTTTGTGCGAATACTTTACAAATGATGCAAACTAGTGAGCTGAGCAGCTAGAATTACCGTACTCGATATAATTGAAGTGATGTAATATACTGATTTTTAAGAAAATAAACGGGAAAAAATCCCACTGTACACACGTTCTTAAAAAAAATTCCCAAAATACATGAGTTATAAAAAAATTTCCCAAAGTACACATGTTTGACCATCACCGTTTTAGACAAAGGCGGTGAAGGTCATCACCGCGTTTGAAGAACACGGTGAATACTTCACCGTTTCAAACTAAAACGGTGATGCATTCACCGTTTCAAACTAAAACGGTGATGCATTCACCGTTTCAAACAAAAACGGTGATGCATTCACCGTTGTAAACTAAAACGGTGAAGGGTTCATCGCGTTTGTTAAGAACGGTGAACGCCTCACCGTTTTGGTAAAAAACGGTGATCATTTCCCACGTTTCCCACCCCTGGTAGGTCAAAATTAGGTCACAGCTACCACCTATTCACCGTTTGAGACAAACGCGGTGATGGTGTTCACCGTTTTCGACAAAAACGGTGAATAGTAGGCAGATTTTCCTATAAATAGCATACCAGCAGCAGTTGTAAAAACATAACCACTCCCCTTTCTTCAAATTTCAGCAGCCAAAATCGAGCATAATAAAATTTAAATTGGGCTAAGTACGAAATAAACTTACTTGACACCGTAGGAGAGATTTTGCAGAAGGTTGAGCTCATCATCGTTTCTCCGGTATGGACGTGGGTCGAGAGGTGCGAACATTGGAAGATGCTCCCATACCCACAGTTGAACGATGAACATCGCAGCACCAGCTTGCTTTGCCCCAACCTTCGAGCAAGTACACAGCTCCCGGTATACGCCCGCTAGCACGGCCGATCCCCAACTCTTCTCTCCAATTGCATCCCAGTCACCGGTGAGCAATGACAACCATATGCCTTGAATCCACCGGTTGGACTTGTCGGGGAACAAAAATCCACCCACCAAACCGATGAGGTAGATGCGGGCGTAGCGCTCGACTTGTTCTTCCGGTGTCTCGTCATTGATTTCCACCTCTTGCTGGATGTGAGATACCAGCCACGGGACCGACACTTGCCCAGCATTCAACGGTGGATGCCCCCGTCCTTGATTTGGTGTGGTGGTCGGCATGTCGAAGCCCAAACGATCACGGATGAGCGGCCCCCAACCTCCTCCGGGTTTGGTCGTGTTCCCAATGATGGCATCTCCAGATATAGGAAGCCCGGTGAGGATCGCCACGTCTTTGAGGGTGATCGTCATTTCCCCCTCCGCAAGGTGGAATGTATGGGTTTCGGGACGCCATCGTTCCGCCATTGCCGTAAGCAGTTCGTTGTCGATCTCGATCCGCAAGAAATGGCGCAACATTCCCAAACCGGTCCTCGCTATATAGGGCTCCAACCTTGGATGCCAAGCGGGCAAGTTATTGGTCCCTTTATGAACCACGGGAACAAGAGATTCCTAAAAAAAATAGGAAAACATCAATTTATTAGATTAAATAAAGCAAAATAAAACATTAGAAAATAATAAAATAAAGCAAGTCAGTTCATCAAATTACCGGATTGTTATCCCAAATGGCACGGGAGCGATGCATTTCTTGATCGGTTAAGAGACTCGCATCCCTTGGGCCATAATGGATATACAATCGAGGATCGTATATCTCGGCACCCATCTATAAAAAAGTAATGAAATCAGAGATTGTTTTGATAAAAAAAAAATCAAATTGTTTCGATTAAAAAAAATCACAAACCAAAAACCTACACGAAGAGCCTCTTCGTCCATTATTGGCGGAAGCCGGACAGAGGTTCGACGGGTTTAGCTTTGTAAGGGACGGGAACTTAGCGGGACGGGGGCTTTAGGGTCAAACTCTAGTAATTCTTTCTGATGTGGAAGATCGGACTTAGCCGCAACCACAGAGCATACTTAGAACGAGACTAGAGCGGATAAATTGAGGGAGAAAGAAGTGAAATGTTTGTGGGGTGAGTTGAAAGTGAAAGGGGAAGGGGGTATTTATAGTTTGGGGGAAAGGGGGGAGGAGCTGCTGCGCAGTTATTAGGGCTCCATTCACCGCGTTCATCAAACGCGGTGAACTCATCGCTTTAACCAAACGCGGTGAATGCATAGCTGACGTGGCATGCTGTGAGGCGTCGGATCGTGGGAAGAAAACCACGATCCGCGTCTCACCGCATCTAACGGCAACGGTGAAAGAACATTGGCGCGGATTGCTGACGCAAACAAACACGGGTTATTCACCGTGTTTGTCTAACGCGGTGAATACCCCGTGCTGCCACGTCAGCAACTTCACCGCGGCCAACAAAAACGGTGAAGCCTTCACCGTTTTAGTCTAAAACGGTGAAGGCTTCACCGTTTTCCTTTAAAACGGTGAGGTATTCACCGTTTTTGACTAACGCGGTGAACCCTTCACCGTTTTGGTTTGAAACGGTGAATGCATCACCGTGTTCGTCAAAAGCGGTGATGACCTTCACCGTTTTTGTCTAAAACGGTGATGCTCAAACATGTGTACTTTTGGAATTTTTTTTATAACTTATGTATTTTGGGAATTTTTTTTAAGAATTATTGTACTTTGGGATTTTTTCCAAATAAACGACACATCAAAATATGTCGTTCACTAATATAATTTGTGTCAGTTACATTCACGTACACGCATAGAAAAACACATTTCACTTATTCAAGGAATGATCAACCTAAAAGTTATAGATTCCAAAAGGTTACAACGTGTGTATAGCATCTTTCCCTAAACCAACCCTGAATGAAATTGGTCAAAAACAGGCTCAAACCTAATGCAAGTACGAAGAGCCTATATAGTGTTTGGAGAGGGGCTATATCAATCGTACAGCCAGATAAACATATTTAAAACATTACAACCAATCTTCATCTTGCCTTGAAAAAATTAAATAACAAATGTATACAAGATGCAATCAAAATCGCCGAGCATACTCGAACTCTCACCATAGAATGCCTCTAGTTGTCATCACTAACTTATAACATTTAGCAAGTCCATATAGCGTTGTAATCCATGTAGAATCGGCAGCATCGTAAGTAGGATTTCATATAAAGAGATTCTAATTTCGAGTTGGGGAATCGTAATTTCTTTAAAAAAAAACAATTACAAATTATTATGCATGTCGTTCTTATTGTATTGTAACAAAAATTTATCATAATTCGATCCTCGTTCAATTCCAAAAAGTGTATTTCACTTAACTACTTGTTGAAAAAAATAGCGCTTAATTTGAACACTCTCGTAGTCAATTTTCATGTCATTTTATGTGTTGTAGTAGTAACGACGCTAACGTTACAAGAAATGCACTCATGCGAACATATCAGCATATTATCAACCGTGCTTGCATTTCTCCACCATCGACGGCGGGAAGGCCAACTACACAACAAAACAAAAAAAAAAAAAAATTTGGCCGTCCATTGTTTATTAGAATTATCAAATTCCTAAATGTTGGGAATTCTTTTAAGCTTTGCTTGTGTGATAAGTTTAATGAACAAGGGTTGACTTGTTGTTGTGGGTAAGGGATTTGGGATGTGAAGCCAACGCATCAAAATCCGTAATTATCAAAGCCGAAAGCAAGAAGGATTGCCTAATCGCATATTTCATGATCTTGTTTAATAACTACACAATAATAATAATATTCCTCCTACAAAATCGCATTTCGATCCCGTTGGGCGCCAAACACTTGGGCGGATCTTTCCCGAGTTGGTAAGTACATGTCTACTTTTGCTTACGTACCAAATAGGTAGAATCTCAACGCAGCCTGGCAAATCTACACAGACCATTTAGAAAAGCTTAAATTTGATTTTCAGTGAAGATTAGATGATTTGTGACGAGACATTTGACAGACATTATAACAGCTGTTGTTAGTTGTTACGTGGTATTGATCAACCTTTTTGTACCTTAATCCCAAATGTGGAACATGGTGATGAAATGAAACATCTTGCACAGGTGCTGTTCTTCGTTATCTTTGTCAAGAACTGATTGGTTTCAAAGATTCAAGTTGTTGAGACAGATTCGGATTATGTTGTTGTTTTACATGTTCTTTCAAATAAAAAGCAACCTCATGTATGCTTAAAGTTTGCATAAGTTTACCGTAACTTGTATTTAAAATCAAGTGTTCATAATGAAAATCATAAATATTCGATCACAAAACTCTCGATTAAAATCATGTTGATCTCTCAAATAGAAGTGAAGGATATGGATCTGTATTCGAGCCATTACTATTCTGCAGTGATCATGCTTTGGCTGCTATTCTCCTCGCAAGTCTGCATTCTCCGTGTGTTTAGAGTGAGGAATATGATCGTTGCCCATCGAGTAGAACGTTAAGCCCTTTCGTTATGACGAAGTTCCGGGTTTCTCTGTATTTGAAGAAACTGCCATGTAATATACTGACCACGGAAAGGCAGAAATGGAATGCATCCTCCAAAATGGAAGACAGACGCCCAGACAAGAAAGCAGACAAGCAGCAGTAGACACTGAAATCACTATCCAAATCCATTGACCTCGTAGCATACTTCTTCCTGAGCAAAACTTTGGCAACATGCTCTCTACTCGTTTCAGAAGGGAGGCATCGAATTAGACAAATTAGTACAACCACACAATCGAATCACATCTACAGTATGAACTTTGCCGCTGCTTTCCTTCTTTTGCTCCCCCTGTAACGTCGTATACGTGAAAGAAAGTCTCTTCCTAGAAACTCAGGATTTATGATACACAACCAATCAACCAGAATAACATATATATTTCCCTGTGCAGTGGAGATGGATGAAGACATCTGAAGTTGCAGCCACCCCTCTCCCTCTCTCTCCTCGCTTTGTGTCTCTCTATGGAAAGCCCAAGCGCCAGTCCATGTTTCCTTCGAAAGGGAAGGATCCGATTTGGTACAAGCATATATTACACACCGGTGCACCGAAAATGCCTATACAATACCCGTAGAAATACTGGACGTAGCATTGATCTTGAGGGAGTACTCAGGGATGTACGTTAGACCTGTTCCAAAGAAGCAAAGCAGGAAAGAAAACGTTCTTCAAACGGAACTTACAACAATTTAGCTCCAATTAGGAGGAGTTGCCCCTAGAAAGAACCTCGGAGTAACTAGGAAGTTATTCATACAAGGAACTCCCCACCTAAGATCCACTAAGGACTTCCCATTGGGGTTCGATGCTTCTTTGCAAGAGAGCATATGATGCTTGGTTCAAGATAACTGAGGTAGCAGTGATACACAAAAACTGAGAAACCATACCAGCAGAATGATAGGCAATACCCTGCCCCAGGAATAATGGCTAGGGTATTATTCATACCCAATTGTAGTGGGCACAGATCAATGAAGTATAAAATCGCACATAAAGTAGGAAATAAGAAAGTGGGCCGTGGAGATTATTAACTAATTGATGCAAAGATTATATAGATTTTATCAGGCTAAGGAAACAAAGGAGAATGAAAGCATTGCAATGACACTATTTTGGCAAATACCGAAAACAAAGATGCAGATGCCAGAATCTCGTTACCTTTTTCCTTGACATCTATCTGTAAGGTGTCGAGTGTGATTATACCATCTGTCAGGGGAAGTAGCTCAAGCTTGATTGTGGCTGTTGAGTTTGCAGGGACGCACCTGCTAACAGACGAGCTTAAGATAACCTAACCCTTATCAGAATCGTAGAAGTGAAAAAACAATGTGAAAGAAGACGGATTTTGTTACCCTAATGGAACTCTGCTCTGCAACCAAAGATGAGTGCAACCGAAACCACTACTTGAAATGACATGAGGTATGGCCGAAGACTGGGAACCAGATAGACCTCCTCCCTCATTCAGCTGCTCTAGCGCAGGAGGTGCAGAAGCCACCCTGCTGTGCGTTTTGCTCCCAACCTTATCACCATGTTTTCTCACAGGCCCAATTGCTGCAGCCATTCTAGGAGTTGATGGTAAAAGCAAGGATCCAACTGAAGGAGGAGCAGTGAATGAGGCTGGAGCAAGAACTGTTAGAGTTAGATCTTCAGCTGTCAAATTGGAGGCTCTGAGGGTTAAGACCTGAGAGATTTTGAAATCAGGAGACAGTAAGAGTTTATAACAAGAAGGAAGACAGGGGCTTTTATAGCTCATGGCAACACCGGATTAGTTAAGATGGAAAGGAGGTACCTGCACCGGAAGATGGGAAACCCTGTCATTGGTAGAAGACCGGTGTGACAGTTCAGGTGCAACAGAAATCAAAAGATCCCTAGAGATACGTGGCCGCCAACTAGTTGGCTGCTTGAAAAACAATCTTGACTCTACATTTTTATTCAAAGAAGAAGACAGTACTTATAAACAAATTAATGTTGTATATATAATAAGTTAGCTTAGAAACAGAAGGCAGAGCCAAGTGCATACCGGTGTAGTTGCAGCGACAAGATACCATAATAGCATATATGTCAGAGTTTGAATTACTACTACTCTGTTCAGTAGAATTCTGAGAAGGACGTGTAGCTGATGAAAATGAAGTTCTTTCACCCAGACCCTTGGGACTTTTCCACATTGACGATGCTGGTTTGAGGATGAAAGAGTGCTCCTCACCTCTCCTGCCAGGATTGACCGTATGGTAAGAAACTAACAGATACAGTGATGAGGGATAGGTTTGTGAATAAAACATTAACTCAAATCTCGGGTTTCGCAAATTGGAATTGCAAGCTTCACGGATCTTTATAATTATTTAGGATACCCATGCAAAGACAAAATCATGCAAAACTCCTATTTGCTAGAAACTTTTTAATAGAAGAATATCAGAGGCTGCATGTTGTTAATGGGAAAGGGAAATTGCATGTTATCCCCAAACATGATAAGGGAAAAAAGAAAGGAATACAGGCATGTATCAAGCAAACTCCATTTATCAACTCATACAGAGATCACATGACATTACAAATGTTTTATTGCATTATCAGGGTGGACTTCAATTGAATTCAACAATCCAATAAGACAGGAACTGCTTTGTTAATTGCATTATCTAGTTCTCAAACTTACTCGAATTCTTTCCACCAAAATATGAATCAAAAGTCCTTCTCTCTCCAACTAGATGCCAGAGAGCAATCAAATGTTCAAGTTCATTATAGCTCAGAGTAACATTCTCAACAAAAGAGAAACCAGACTAAAGCTAGCGACACTTGAAAGGCTGTTTAGCAAGCAGCAATTGAGAGAAAACAAAGATACCTAGAGTGGACAACCACCTGAGGGCTAGATTTGGTAAAAAGTGATCATCTCCAGCTTCAATGCAAGCTATTGGCAAGGACAAAGGTAGGCTACCCTTGGAAGCCTCGTTGAAAACCATAGTTATAGCATCTATATACACCACTATATCTGGCAAGTGTGCTGGAGAAATATTCTGCAGAAGAACTTGATTTATTAACAAGGGATTGGCAAAAATGAAAGTTTCTTTAAAGAGAATGTAGAAGCATGACATATTGGGGAACAAGAAGCACTAGGTGAAGACTGAGCAGATATATTCATCACTAGAATTTATTCTTTCCAGATTCACACCTTTATCTGAACACAAAGCAAGTCATCTGTATTACAATCTGCAGCGAAGGAATGGATCTCTACAGGTTGAATGATTTCAAGTTTTCTCCGCCATCTTTTTCCTGGAATGTACATCCCTTCCAGACCACAACGTACTGAAAATCTTTCTCGCTCTAATGACACACCCCGGAATGAGAGAAGTCCATCGCCACCATTTTGACGATTTAATCGCAACTTCTGAGATGAGTACTCTCCCCATTCATCGATGTCAAAGTTTGGTTTAGAACTTTGGGCTTTAACTGGTTGAGTAGGTGGAATGCTATTCTGGGGCAGTGATGACATGGAATAACTTCTAAAGTGAGAGAAGAGCTGTGAACCAGAAGACACAGGCTTCTGAGATGTGGGAGCGATAACTGGAATAGGAGCTCTCTGGGGTGGGGATAAGTTACGAGGAGGAGGAAGAGTGTTATCCAAAGGAAGCAACCATGTTAGAAGTTGTCCATATGGATCAGCATTAGCCAAGTTCAGTTCATCTGCTTTCTCTGGACACAGATTTCTCGTATTGTATTTCTCAAACTGAAGAATCTCAATAACCGGATCTCTCAGGATATGAGTACCAACATTAACTTGTAGAAGTACCTGTATCCTTCCAAACAAAGATTTGGCATGAGAATCAGTATATAAATAAACAATTAACATATCAACATAGACAAGCATATAATTTAATAAACTGTTTCGGTAAGAATCAGTAAATAGTGCTGCAAGCAAAATGAACCCTGAACTCGAGATTACAAAGATCATAAGAATATAATGTTCGTAGTCAATTCAGTACATGAAGTTTCGAGAAGTTCAATCCGATGGGGAAGAGTTATGACCAGTGCAAGACATATAGCATACCAAACAAAGACAATGGTAGTCTGATTGTCAAAGACAGAGATTAAGACTTTCAAAATGTAGTTATGGGAGTAAAAAAAACCTGAAATAAATCTGGGGGAAGAACTTAGCGCAACTTTAGAGATGTAACTTTAAACCAGAAGGAATTCAGACACATACCACTATATCGCCATTTGAAAGAGACCAACAGTTAACACTATTTCTGGCAGCCCCACCAGCAACATTGGCATCAAAATTTCCTTTGTCGATGAGAGCATTGAGATGAGTTTTGGCCTTTCCGGTTCCGCTCCCAAAGGAACTCTGACCATCAATGTCAGCTAACTCACGGTTTTGTCCAGCTTTCTTTGACCAAAGTGGCTCATCTGACTCCGCAATCCTAACAAAAAAATGGGAGTTCTTGAATCTGTGCAATAATGTTTCAGTTTGCCTTTTGTGATCCTCCATTCTGAGAATGGATTCGCTAGCCGAAACAACAGCTTTTGGATCACTCTTCTGTAGCAACGAGTCGTCGCCATCTTGGCCTGTAACTTGATCACTATCATTTATTTCTCCTTCTACATGATTTCGGTCATTCACGTTTCCATTCTGTCTCTCAGGGCTTTGTCCTATGCCATTTTTACACATAACAGCAGCAACTTTGAACGGAGTAATGGTTTCTGTATCTCGATCGGATGCTGACAAACATGCTATTATATGAACTTGTTCACCTGAAATAAAATTAGTAATGTAACTTGTAAAATATAAGTAGACCAACTTCCACAGTGACTACCTATCAAGTTATCTATAATTACATCATTTCCCGGGGACAAAGGATAGAGGGGTACCAGGAAAAACAAATGACCGATCCAAGGAGCGTAGGGAGTGTATATTGGGCGAAGAATTCCACTCATCAGGAAGTTCCTCTGCAAACACATGAAAATCCTTATAGACTGAAAAAGAACAGTTTTCTTTCTAATTTTCACAATGTACAGAATCAGCAATTCAGACATCCTGAACAAGAAGACTAATAACCCTAGTAAATTGCAGAAGTCTGGAGATAAATAGTACTGTGTGGAATAGTGATCCATCCTTCTTCTTCAGAAACATCCGAATGCCCCTCAACAACGCAAGAACCTTTCTTTAAAGCCGAACCTCCATCACTGCCATTTTCATCTCCAAATTCATCAGAAACTACTTCTCGATTTCTCGCCACTGGAGATTCGGGGAACGGATCTTCAGATATAAGACCCTCCAGAGTCTTGGTAGGTTTCGCCATATACTGCGTGTCTACAGCAGGTTCGTGAGAAGGAACCTTTTCAGGCGCCACATGGTGACTAGTAGACCGTAGCAGAAAATTCATTTCTTCTTCCCCCCTAGCAGACGATTTCTGCAAAACCCAAAAAACGAAATGTCACAAATGCCGCACTGAAATCTTCACCAAAGCAACATGCTGGATATAGTAGCAGGGCAACCAACTACAAAACTACTTCGACTCCTATTTGGATCACCATGAAAACCACCCTCGTTCAACAAATTGAGCAGGAACCTATACTCCTAACTCCTTCCAACTCCAACCAACTATAGCACGAGACAACAGTTTCAGACTACGGATTGAATCCAAAAAGAAAACAGATCAAATCTCGAAGTACGAAGCCGTTCAGGTAGAAAGTGAAATTCAGTGAGAGAGGAATGGGAAATGGGAGATGCCGGAATTGGAAGGATCAATTGGCGACTCCAAGTTCAGTATGCGGAAGCTTAGAGCTAGAAACCAATTTAGAATGGAAGAGAGACTGAAGATGGATCACCTGATCGGAGATGAAAGACGGGAGATCGCCTGAGGAACGACGACGGAGATAGAGATGGATCTACTTTCCTGGAGGAGTGAGATACGACACTGAGACGTGCAAACGGTTCAGAAAGGTGGATTCGGGCTTCTGACAGACAAAAAAAGAAAAAGATCCCGTTTCCCGGCGAAGAATTGCGGGCCTGTACCCAAAAAAAATGCAGGCCTTTAATGGGCTTGTGCCCGAAATTGATTTACTTGCGGAGCCCATCCAGCATCAGGACATCCCGGCCTGTAGTCGTACCCACATTGTTTCAGTTTTTGGCCTGCCCAAACCAGAAGTTTCAGAATTCTGAGCACTCAACTCTAGCTAGGGTGTGATCAAATGATTATGATTTACTAGTTAGGGTGACAAAAATGTCTTTTTAATTCACAATATCATAAGCTTAAGTGTTTTTTTGGAATAATTAGGGAGTAGTTTGTCATGTCGTATTAGTGGGGTATGAAAGAGTTATTAGTAGGACGATGTAATCTGTAATTAGTGGGATTTTCTCATTAGGCAATTATAAAAACCAATTATCCACCCTAATTTTCTTTTCTCTATTTTCCTCTCCTCTTCCCACATCTCCCTCTCCTCCCTCAAAGCTGCGGCAACAACAACCGTTCCCCATCCCTTGTCCTTCAATTCTTTCCCTACTCTAAATTTCTAGTTAGATAAGTTCCTAATTGATCTAACTATTTTTCCCTATTCAAAACTTGTTAGAAGCCATGTTTCTAACATTTGGTATCAGAGTCTCGTTCGAGAGTGAATTCCTCACAACTCTTGACCAGTGAGAAATCGGAAGACTGCGATGGTGCTAACGAAGTCACAAACAACGACATAGAAGGTGGCTAGGGACGCACAGACGTCGCAGGCTACGACAGCTGAGAAGAGACCCTTGTCCTACAAAAGGGGGGGGGGGGACGGAGTGGTGGTGGACGAGACAGAGTTCGAGGAAGTGAAGCTGGCGGTGCAAGAATACGCTTGTCTCAAGGAAGGATTGACGAGGTTGCGTGCCGAGGCGAATATGGACGCGGAAAGACTTCAGCAGCTCCTGAAAAATCTCTCCCAGGCGCTGGAAACACTCGAGCGTAGGGAATGGTGGCATGGTCCACAATTGGACAAACCCCGACGATGGCCAAACCAGGAGCGTTGATCCCGGAGGCGAGCGGGGAGATTGGGTCGTGAGGCGGTCCTCCTCGGTAGTGGTCGTGCTAAACGAAGACGTCGACTAGGAGAAGACGGCGATCACGACGACGGGAAAAACGACGTAGGTCAAAGGAGCGAAGGCGGCGGACGTAGGGGTGGGGAACGCGAACCATGTGGGCCACGAGTTGCTTGAACGCGGCCATGGGACGGTTTTGCTACAAACTCCTTCGGCACAGGAGATAGCGGCCCTACGAGGAAAGTCTAAGATGTCGGGCTATGACAACTTTGGACCCCAGTTGGGCTATGGACCCCACGAGTTTGTGGGTGGAGTAGAGTTCGGCCGCTTCAAGGAACCCAATGGGCTAGGGTGGCTAGTATGGATCCAGAAGAAGATGAATAGAACTTGGCAGGACAATCGAAGAGTCTGCCAAACCAGGAAGGAGCTCACCCGCGTGGGGCATTGTGAGGGAGGTGAACCGACTGACTAGGTTGGGTCTGACACGGAGCTGGTCAAACGAACTCAGGTCGACCTAAATGGACCGGAACTGATCGGGCTGAGTCGGGTCGAACCGGAGGCGAGTTAAACCAATCCATCCATATTCCAATCGGAATGAGCAGCAAGGGACCCACAACTTGGCAGGAGTCCTTCAGGGATTCGAGAGTTTCTTATCCTCCTTTCACAGGCCCCCCGTTTGAAGGACGACCATTGGCCGACACTGGGATGCATGACATGCTCAGAAGGACGAAATAGAAGGGTATGCGGAGTACCCGTTCGAGGAAGAGGACGCGTGGGGGCGAGACAGGTAGCCGCAGTTTCAGTTGACTATCGTGGTCGAGCTCCTGGCTATGGTAGGTATGGCAGATACTCTCGTGTGTACGTGGGCACCGGGCCGTGCTGCCCACTGGCTAGCACGACACGGCACGGTTAGAGCACGACACGAGCACGGGCACGAAATAAATGGGCCAGTCCGGCACGAGCACGAATAATTTATGGGCCATGCCGGGTCTAAATTTCATGGGCACGGGTACGGCACGGTATATAAGTGGGTCGTGTCGGGCCTAATATTTTCGAGACTTTATTGAGTATAAGAACGAACATGGCACGAAAATAATATTTATTTGATAGAAAATAAATATAAAACGAATTATTGGTTCACATATTACAAAATACAAGTAGAAAAAGAATTATTTGTTGCTGTTAGAAGTGTCATAAAGATATATACGTAATTACTACCATAAGTAAAAATGGACGAAGAATTAAACAAAGTCAAATCACACTCGCTATACTTCCAATTTTATTTTTCCCCTTATTTGTTACTTTTCTCAAACATTATCGGTTAATACTTTCTTTCTCCGTCCAATTTTCACATTCTTTATCATTCTCTCTTTTGTTTTTTTCATTTTCATTAAATACGAATACGAACATGGCACGAGCACGAGCACGAATAGGCACGACACGATTCGAACCGTGCCCGGGCCTGGGCCGGGCCTAGCAAAGTTAACAAATGGGCGTGCATGGCACGACACGAAAACTGATGGGCCGTGCCAAGCACGACACGAAATAAATGGGCCCGAAGCGTGCTCGTGCCGTGCCGGCCCAAGTACGGCCCAACGCCCATGTACACTTTTAACAAACAATGAACTTATATTAAATCCATCAAGCTTGGAATTTGGATACCAAATCCATGACCCAAATCCAACAAGCAGACCGCAACAAAAATACGACTTTGAGAGTTGGGTACTTGGGGTGGGGTGAAATGTAATTGCACCACAATCTTGTCGAGAGTGCCCTGGGGAAACGAGGAACCACACAGACGCAAATTTCACCAGATGTGGACGGATTGGTTTTGTCTTTACTAAAAGGTGACAAAAATATCACCAACATGATTAATAGCTTGAATCCGATTCGGTTAAATAAGGTAAAATTTGTATTAAATAATTATTTGATAGTATGAATAAAATTTAAATTTGAATATGTTATAGGTAATGAATGACTTAATTTTTTTTAATCATTTGTCCGATTATAGATGCATATGTTTATTTTTCTATAAATATAAATTGTCACTCAAAGTATTCGAGATTCTTAATACATATATAATAACCCAATTGATTCATTTTTTAAATTTCTCTTAAAGGTTGATGACTTATAATTTTAAATGTTTGACTAGTATAATGTGAATGTACTCTCACAAACAACAGCCACACATTAGATGAAATAATTATCTATGAATATTCATGAATAACAGAAATTTGAATGAATATGGTATGATTTTAATTGTACGAACATAAGTATAGTAAAACCCCGAATTAATTAGAATGAAATAACATATATGCACTCTTCGTCTCCAAACTGATTGGTGTTATCCCTATATTCAGCGGAGAAAATAGAAACTAGTAACGTCACATGCATATATAACATATCTCAATATAATTTCCTTGGAATCTACATTCATATTTAAATAAAGTAAATCATTATAAACAAAATGATAAATGGTCATATTTAAATACAATATTTAACCTTAACATCCAAATATTTATACTTCAATCTAACAAATAATAGCAACACTGATATTTAAAATCACCAAAACGACGTAATTTTGTTTAGAGATCGAAAATTAATAATATCACCTGGACTACTATTCTTGACGGTATAGTGGTACTGACTAGTTTTATTGGTATTGGCTACCACTTCATATTGCATATTCCATCTGATTTGTGTCCGAGCCGTGCTGACCACATAGTACTCTGTTTAATATATGTAAATATTGTTTATGTATTTATTTATTTTTAAAATAATTAATCATATATATTTTATAACTATTGACATACTATTAACATTACCATAAGTTTAGAGTCAACATAAAACAATCATACGTGATTTATACGTAACTTAGCCGTATCGTATTTTACTAACTCCGTACTATTGGTTTAACAACCACCCACCCCTAAAAAAAAATAAAAACCACGTTTTTTAATTTTTGTTTTTATGAATTTAACAACCATACTTGCAGGCGCAGCCTCTTCTTCTTCAGAGAATCACATGTCAGATTTTGCACAGTGTTGTTGATGTGCATCGCCCCCTCAACTCCGTTCATTCAAACTCTTCCAGTCCCACAAATCGCACCAGATATTTTCCCACTGTTTCCTTCCAATTCAATCACTGACCACCCAAACTACAATCACTATTCTTCTTCCCTCTCTCCTGTTCATTTCCCTCTTCCCCCTTCTGTAAAAACCTATGGACTCTTCCTTCCCCAACTGAATTGAAATTGAGTTCATCTGTGGGTCCGTCCGTGTTCTGTGGGCTGTAATTCGAGATTATCTTGAAGAAAGGCTTCAGCTTTGAGTTGCTTGCGCACCCGCGAAACCAACCTGTCACATGGGATTGGCGCTAATCACCGACGAAGGCAGGATTGCGAGGAAGACTTCGAACTTGGGGAGCTCTTCATGGAACCACCGCAACTGGGTTTGATCGAGCAGTCCTTCAATAGCAGGTACTCCAACTGGGCACGCGAGGCGCTCGACGAATTGCCTGACAACTTCACCATCACCGATCCTTGCATTTCGGGCCACCCAATCGTGTTCGCCAGCGGGGGCTTTCTCAAGATGTCTGGTTACTCGCGCGACCAAGTGATTGGGAGGAACGGCAGGATTTTCCAAGGCCATAACACTTGCAGAAGGTCGGTCATGGAGATTCGGGAGGCGATTCGGGAGGAGCGCGGGGTGGAGATCAATTTGTTGAATTATCGGAAAGACGGAACGCCCTTCTGGATGTTGTTTCGGATGACGCCGGTCTTTGGTAAGGATGAGGGCCGGGTGATTCATTTCGTCGCCGTTCAGGTTCCCATCCTGCGCCGGAGGCAGCGGAGGGGAAATGGGGAGAGATTTTGTGACGGGATTTGGTCTAATTCCTGCAGAAGGGAAGTCTGCTCCAGTTCATCGGTGGAATTGGCTGGAGTTTCAGAGGCGGATTCCGGCTGTAGAGGTTGGTCTTTCAAAATTACTACTTTTTTTCACCCAGTTCAACTTCTTGTTACTAGTTTTCTTCCTAATGTATTGTTGGAGACTTGAATACTAGTTTTGATTATTGCTGATCAGTATCAGTTACGGAAGGCTCGGTTTCTAAACATGTTTGTAATTACGTTTTTCCTTGACTGCAAGCCACTTAATGGGTTTCAGCTAATCTCATTTCTAGAATTTGGATTAGTTCTCTGCAGCTGTATCGTCATTGTATTAGCTTTTATCTGCTGCAATTGGCCATTATCAGCAGAGATTTTTCTTGAAGATTTCTTGGAACTGTCCTTTTCTTTTGTGCCTCTTCCAGTTAATGACATACTTGTTCTGTTTCCGCTGAACACATTTGGTTCATATTGCATAATTTCTGTCTAATTACAGCACTTGAGGTCGAACAACAATGCAAGGCAAGCGACACAGAGAAGCAAATAGCTGCAACTGCTATTAGAAACGTGTTGTCCGTGCTAACCCACTACAGCGAATTAACCGGAAGATTGGTGTGTGAGAAGAGATTTGGTCCCAGCCTTGTCAGTTCATCTTTACATATCTCTCTTGGTAGAATCAAACAAAGCTTTGTATTGTGAGTTTGTTTTATTTTCTTGGCTTATTGGTGCTATTTCTGAGCGTTCTAGCTTTCAGAGAACAGTACTGTCTTCAAGAATTAATATCGTTCTCGACTCTTTGCTTTCAGGATGGATCCACACATGCCGGAGATCCCTATTGTTTATGTTAGTGATACCTTCTTAAGAATGACGGGTGCGTTAGGTTTTACATGGCTTTACTTGCTGTAAAATGCAGGCTGCTGTTCTTGTCTTTTAATATTTTTTTCTGGTTTTGTAGGGTATGCTCAAAATGAAGTTATAGGGAAAAACTATAGTTTCTTAACTGGTGTTGATACAGATCCCTCGGCTCTACATCAGGTGTCTCAGTGTCTGTTCTCTTATTTTATTGGGAATAGATTTCCGTAGTTTCTTTTCCTAGACTTGTAATGGATCCTCTAGTTGACTGAAAACTCTTTTTTTCCTCCCTTTCAGATAGAGCTAAGTATCCAAGCTCAACAAGCATGCTCAGTACGTATTTTACATTACAGGTTGATGCTCAACTATTATCGAATTGATAGCTTAACCAGTGATATTATGTTCTCTATCCCTCCCACCCTAATTAGCTATATTTCTTCTTTGATAACAGGAAGGATAAGAGCTCCTTTTGGAATCTTCTGCACATTTCACCAGTTCGTAATGCTACTGGCAAGGTAATGTGAAACTGCACTTCCCCATCCCCTTTGATCTTCTGTGTTCCGAAGTTGTGATATTTCGTTAAACCCAAGCTGGGTTGCTGTTTCTATATTGTATGTAGACTGATTTCGAGTGATGGAATAGAGAGGACTTGCAAATGTATAGAACGAACAGATAATACCAGCTGAGGTTGAAGTAGTAAATCATTTGTTTTCTTCACGTCCACTAACCACTCTAACCGATTGGAATGGCCTCTTGTTCGGGTCACTTCTGTGTTTCGGATTTGCACGACTCAATCGATCCTTCTTCTTACTCTTTATCCCTATGTTTGTTCATTCAGATAGCGTACTTTGTGGGTGTCCAGATCGAAGAAGGCAGTTTGGACCGACATGGATTGAGTCCTGAGATGAGGCAGCTGAGCGTCGTTGGATCAATCAAGGTGGCCGTGAGGAGTTCATCAATGTCATCTTCTTCCTCCAAATCATCATAGCTTTCAATGGATCAATACACCAGCGCAGAGAGAGAGAGAATCCTCTCGCTGTAGCAGAGCAATCCTTACACTATGTTTGGGAAGGGTTGTAAATGGAAGGGGGTGCAAAACGTGAGCGTAAATTCACTGTTTCGGCTTACCCCCAAATTGGGGTGCAAGAGAAGGAAGGGAGGGGAAGGGGGAGGAGGAGGGGAATTATGAATTTTTAATTAGATTATAATTACATAATAATTAATATTATTAATTTTTTCTTATATCTATACTGGTGTAGAAGTTGTTTGGGGTTGACCGTTTGACTCAGAGAGCAAGTTTGTCAATGTTCGCCTCGTCAAATCGATATCTCTTAGTTGACCCGAATTTGCATTGAAAATTAGAGATAAGAAGCGTTTGTTGAAAAGATAGAGAGGAACAGTTTAGTTAACTCGATTTACTTTAATAAGTAGTTAAAACTTACAGATTCGAACGTGTTTGGTTAAGTTTGACCATATTCAATTTAAAGTTAGGCACGAGAACCCCCTTAGGATGACCAGTTACGAGTTGGATTTCGAGTTTCGAGGTTGCTCGACCAATGATTATTATTGTTGTTATAAATAATTATATTTGAGCATTATTATATAATAATTATTTTTATTAAAATTATTTTTATTTATTATTATTATATATTGAATTTTCATGTTATTATTTTGTGATAATATTTTATAAATTGATAAATCTATTTTATAATAATATAATTACTTACTTTTTACTCTATTTGCACCCCCTACTTTTTCATCCAAACAACAATTTACCCCTCCACTTACACCCTCCACCAAGTTGCACCCCCAACAATTTACCTCTCAACTTGCACCCCCTCGAACTTGCACCCCCTTGTTGCCAAACATAGTGTTAAGGTTGACCTTATATACGTACATGAAGCTTTGAACAAGAAATTTCAAGTCTTTTTTGTGAAAAAATTGGGCTTTGGCAATTGTGACTTGTGAGCATTGGAGAGGGAAAATGAAAGAGAAAAGGGGAAAGAGAGATTCCTTACTCGCTTGGCCGATTTTCTGCCTTCTGGATCTTTTATGATTCTGTTTCTCCAACGAAACTCCATTCGACAATGGCGATAGAGAACCGAATTTTCTACGGATTCTCCCTTATTGCGCTTTGTTTGTTCATTGTTTTCCAAGTTGCCTAAGTGTGGCCTCTTTACTCAGAAATAGTTGCCGGCAGTGCATGGGTTCTTCTCTACGAAAAGCATTTGACATTTCTGTTCTGCAATGCATATGCAGGTATTGAGAAACTACAAGGTCATGAATCATGATATTCGACTGCAACGACTTCGGCACTTCCAGCATTATCTTTCCTTGATTGCTTTATTTCGACTAGTTGGAGTTGGCATCTATTCGTCTCATGGTAGATCTGGGATTGGATACGGTCAGTTTTCACATAGGGTTCGAGATTTAGGGGTGGAGCCATCGTGCGGCTGGGCCGGACGAGAGGATGGGGAGGGACATTTTTATTCATTTTTACATTTATTTTTTTAATTTATCCTACATGTTTTACCACGTTATACTATGTGGCATTGTATGGTAGTTAGATTTGTAAATTTTTAGTATGTTATACTATATGAATTTGTGAATTTCAGTAGCATGTATTACCACGTTATACCATGTGGTATTGTATGATAGTTAGATTTTTAATTTTCTTCAACATATTTTACCATATTTTACCACGGTAGTAGAAAGTAATAATCATATTCATATTTGTAATTAGTGTCTTTATCAATAAATTATTTAACGAAAAAATTATCATTCAATTTGAGTTGGAATTGGAGCAGAGAAGAGAAGAGATAGCTGGGATGATTAGATTCATTTTTGTTGTAGATTGGAGAGAGAAGAAATAATGTAATTTTTCTTTGGCAAAATACACTTCCATAGCCATAATTTTACACTTTGTGACAAATATTATATAGTCAAGTTTTGAAAAATACACAGAAATAGGCAAATAACCACAAATTTGAAACTACCTTGACAACTTTGGGCTAAGTTTGGCTCCATATTTAGTTGGGCTCAGGCCAACTTGTTATTGCTTTAGGGGTTTTACACGACTGACGATATTGAGAAGGGGAACGTTGTTGAACCAATTGTTTTTATTGCTCAACAGGGAGTGAGTAAAAGCTTCCACAGCTGGTTGGCCAAAATGGGGACCCAAATTGCATGAGCAATAGGTCTTACATGTAAGGGGTCCTGTACCCATGCTTCAAAATTTCCTTGCCAAGCTACATGGTGACGCCAGTAACTTCAAAATTAGTTCTATATTTTTATGTGGTGTGGGCATATTTTTGTCAAAATATAGTATTAGTTTAAATAATATTTTAATTAAAATAATACAATATTAATGCTCTATTGGCGTTCCAAATTTATAATTCTCTATAAATAAATGCTCTCCCGCTCCCGCTTGACGAATCGATAAGCTAATGCCATGTTCACTTCCCAATTTGTTTTGTCTTTTTTGTTGTCAAAATGAAAATCGAGAAACAAATGACAAAAAACGTGTTCTTTTGTAATTGTTGTTTTCGTTGAAAAAAATGATGAGGTAGCTGAGAGGAATCAATAAAATCAAGTTTCTTGAAAACAGATGTCATGTTCACTTCCCAATTTGTTTTGTGTTTTCTGTTGTCAAAATGAAAATTAAGAAACAAATAACAAAATACGTGTTCTTTTGTAAATGTTGTTTTCGTTAGAAAAAATGATGAGGTAGCTGAGAGGAATCATTAAAATCAAGTTTCTTGAAAACTGAGGGGCGGGTTACTCCCTGTTGCCCAGCGGAAAACGACCATTGTTCATTAATGAGTGCCTCGTTTTAATCCCCCAAACCCCCCTTTTCTTTTCTTTTTGGTTTGCTAAAATTGTGAAACTGAATGCACTAAACTCAAGGTAAAAGAAAACTCTCTCAAACATTTATTAATTAAAACATAATTCTATATTATTATAATTGGTTAAGGCGTGCAAATAATGGTCACTTCTTTTCAAATTCAGCTTTATAACTTCTTTTCAAAATTGTAAAAATTGTAGTAATCAAGAATCAGAAAACAAACATTTATTAATTAAAACATAATTCTATATTATTATAATTGGTTAAGGCGTGCAAATAATGGTCACTTCTTTTCAAATTCAGTTTTATAACTTCTTTTCAAAATTGTAAAAATTGTAGTAATCAAGAATCAGAAAACAATATGAAGTAACTAAACATGTTTTCATTTTCAGAATTCAGTTCCAGAACTCACCAAAATTCTCAGCTAAACAAGTTTTCTTCAGGTTTTGTTTCCCAGAAAAAGATAGCATTGTTTTCATTTTAATTTGTTTTCTGTTGCGTAATCTACAATAAACGGAATGGCAAGTGAACGGGCCATAAGGTAAGACTTGGAATATACTAAATAGTTAATGATATTATTATTAATTAAAAGGGAAAAATCGGAAACCCACAGAAACCCGGATTGAATTATATTTTTGTCTGCAAACCCTAGAACCGCTTCGTCTGCAAACTCAGCGTCGTGTTTCCGTCGGAGACGTATGCAAATTGGTGAGCCGCCAACCTGCCATCGCCGTCTCTACTCATTTCCGTCGTAATTTCACCGTGCAATTACTATCCATACTCCACTTCCTTTCATTAGCGTCGCTAGCCGTTACCATTGCTCTGCTTTGCCAGCGTCGCGACGATAAAGCGAACCACGTGGTCGGCCTACCGACTCCACGGAATCGCCAAAGGATTTTCTATTTGGTAATTTTATGTATTTCGTGTTCTTATTATATATTGGTTTATGTTGGTATTAAACGTTACCTTTGACATTATTAATAATGTAAGTAAAAACATTAAAAATGAAGGTGAAAAAATCTCTTCAGTATTTTGTTGATATTGTTATTAATAATTGAAGAAGAAATACCTTGGCGTGTTAATAATTCAACAAGGGATAATTAATAATAACGTCATTGTCCGTTAATAATTAAAGTTAATAAGTTAATAAGTGTCTATCGATAAGTGAAGCAAATCTGGGAGGTGGCAGTGTGAGAGTGGAGACGGCTTTCCAACTCCATCCTAGCTCCAGAGACGAGAGCATCAATCTCATGTGGTTCCCTGGGGGAGGTGGAGCTCAAATTCCTGGTATCAACAAGGACCTGGTTCAATGAAGGGGAGTTGACGATGATGTAGGACGCAAGCTGCATTTGGGGTTTGCGAGGATCAAGAAATTGCTTTTTGTCGCTTGGATGCACACCATGGAGCTGAAGCACCTGCGGAGAGTGATGTTTCCATGTCGCCGCCGACTCCTCTGCACGATCGTTCCAGATTGTGTAGCCAAATGCATGTACGAACGATATGGACAATTGGCGCAACAATGGAGCTGCCCTCAGCAGGGCAGTGACCTCCAGCATACTTGAGCCGCGGGCATGATAGATATATATGGTCAAGTCCAACACGGCGAGCTTTCCAAACTGCAGCCAGTCCGGGCAAAGATTCGATGCAGGGTCGAAGTTATAAGTCACCAGGTCGTACTTGAAAAGCTGCAATCTCGGCGCAAACTTGTTGAATTGAGAACGAGACCACGGGAAGTAGCAGTCTTGCCGCAGCCCACAGAGCCCTTGGTTACAGAACCGAAGCTCCTGCAGCTGAGGAATGCCGTCCCCAAATTCGAACCAGGGGATGTACAGAGACCCGGAGCAGAGAGGAGTTCAATCCACCTGGCTCCCTTCCCTTTTCCGGTTTTGTTTTATTGCCCTTCCCATCCTCGGACTGTCGGACACCGATGACGTCGCCGAACTCCGTATAATCATCATCATTAGCGTTTAACCAGGTCTTTATTATTAGTATGCTTTGGTCAACTTTCCGCGATGGTGGAGGAGGTTTCCGGCGATCAGAGATGGTGGAGGAGGATTTTCCGATTTGTAGTATAAGTAGTGGTATTTTATATGGTTAGTATGTTTTGTACTATTTGTTTGTTTTTTTGTAATGGTTGTAAGCTTTGTTATTTTTGTGTCACCATATTTATAATTTTTTCAACCATGTTTGTAATGTTTTTTATGTCTAAAAAATAACTTGGTTGACTTTGGGATGTAACTTCTCTATATATAGATGAAACCTCCAAAGTCAACTCGCGTGTTTTTCCATTTTGTATGGTTTGTCAGTCTAGTTTGTAATGTTTGTCCACCATTTTTGTAATGTTTGTATGTCTAAAAAACAACCGGGTTGTCTCCAGATCTAAGGGTTGGAAGGGGCTTAATCAAGTGACTAAGCACGGAAGCACCCCCTTGGTCACATGATCCTTCCTCTTTAACCAGGTCTTTAATTATCGTTAACTTTTCAATAGCTTTTCACAATCATCATCATCATAGACAACGGTGAAAAGACAAAGAGTATTACAAGTGTTGGAATGACCAAAGGCAGTAGTCGACCAAACGGTGAACTAACGATGAAAGA